GATGGGATCTGGTCACTGGGAAGGCCAGGTCTCCACCCTGCAGCCCCACACAGAAACAGCTCGTGTGGTCTGAGCACCCCAAACTGGACACAGGCACCAGACAGGGCCACGCCGGATCCTCTCACCCTTGGAAGAAGAATAAAATATTCCTCTGGTGCACRTAAGAGCAGAGCTGCTGTCACTGGGGGGTGCTGATCCTGCTGGGACAAGGAACGTGTGGGGTGGCAGCAGCTGGGCCAAACACTGGGGCAAACTTAATAAACATACCCCATCATGTCCTCCATAAATGTACCCCAAAAACGGTGGTAGAAGCGCCAGGATGCAGCGAAATTGAGGCATTTTGAAGCCAAATGTGGGGCTGGTGCACCCAGAGCGGTGGGGATGTCCTGCAGAGGGGCTGAGCACGTCCCTGCAGCACTGCCRGCCTGCAGAGCTGAGAACACGGCTCTGAGCGGCTGTGAAGCTGCTGGGGCTGAGTGCTGGCTGTTTCTGGCAATCTCCAGCTCGGGGTGTGCTGCAGGAAGGCAGCTGTGCCCCCAAACCGCATCCTGCGGGTTCAGAGCTGCTGCTGCTGCTGCTCGCCCCCGCCCCGGCCCCGCTGCTTCCTCTGCTCCAAMAGGGGMGGCTCAGGGCTCCACCTGAAACCTTCCCCGGCATCAAAACAACCCGTGGGCACTCTTAGCGTGCCCCACTGTGCTGTGGCATTTTGGGGTTTTTACAGCTGCTTTGGCTGCAAAGTGAGAGCAGGATGAGGGCAGAGGAAAATCCCTCTGAGAAGGATCCGCTCTGAGCTCAGGGAACCAYCAGGAACCAGTGCAGGAGTTAAATTGGAGAGAATTCAACCAGAGCAGGGAGAAGYGTGAGGGGAAAAGGAGACCAGGGGACACCGGCGAGGCTGCAGTCCTTTAATGAGAGAGAAACCTTCTCTTGCCATTTTTGCTTGTTTCTGCTCCCCGATGGCAAACCCGAGCATGGCTCAGGGGTGGGACAGCGTGTCCCTGTCCTGGGGCCACCTGGAGTGGCAGAGGAGTGGCAGAGGCTCGGCAGAGCTGGGCACAAGCTGGGCACGAGTTCAGCCCTGGTGCTGCGATTCAGAAAGCTCTGGAGTCCAGGCCTGCGTACACCTCCCTCTGGCCTTTGCGGATGGGCTGGGGGACAGCAGAGATGTGCTCAGCAATCCCTGAGTCCCCACTGCACGTGGGGAGGGCAGAGCAGAGYGGGGSCAGYGCAGGGAGCTGCGGTTCTGATCCCAAATCAACCCCAGGGGAACCCACTGCACTCTCTGTGCCCGCTTCCAGGACAGCCTGGAGCTGGACTGGGTGTTTCTCCAGGATAAATGAGCTGGCTGGCAGCCCCAGCCCTGCAGAGGGGATGGGAAGCACAGGGACAGTCCTCACCTCATAGTCCGGGTTTGGGACGGGGGGAGGACGCTGCATCTTCGGACCTGAAACAGAGGCACAGAGGGGGAATCCTTGGGGATTCCTGTCAGGATCTTCCTGAAATCCAGGGGCTTCCAGGATGGTCCCAAAGCCAGGGATCAACTCCCATGGCTTCATTTGGAGCTTTTAGAGAGGCAGCTGCAGCCTGGAGCTGGAGGGTGACCCAGCACATCTCAGGGATGGGATCCATGGGGCAGGCAGCCTTTGGGACAGCAGCCATCCCCCTGCACCCAACAGCCCAGASAGCACCCAGGGGAGCAGGAGCATCGTTTGGAGGCTCCTGGAGAGCAGAGGCTGCTCTATCTCACTGTCAGGACACGGGACACGTCAGCTCCACGTGGAGCAGGGTGCCCAGAACAGCTCCTACCTCGTGGCCGGCTGTCCCCAGCGGTGCTGGCCCGTCCCTTCCTGCCTTTGCTGAAATAATAAACCAGGATCAGCACCCCCAGGGTGATGAGCAGGTCTGCAGCGATGATCCCTGCCGCTGTCAGCGTGTCCAGCTCCTGGCAGTTGTCACAAACTGGATGGGATGAGGAGAGGGGCGACGCTCAGAGCCCCGACCCCGCACCCGTGGGCACTTCCAGAGGGGTGAGGGCAGGGGAGAAGGGCAACTGAAGGGAAAAGGGAGATTCCTTCTGCCAAAAATGGGCTCTGGGACCCTCTTATTGCCCTCACAGAGCGGGACGAGTCCTGGCAGCACCACATTCACCAAAAATCCACTCGCAGATCGAGGGTTTTACGCTCACCTCGGGCATTCAGGTACAGCTCATGCCTCTTGCTGCCCGAGGAGCAGCTCAGGTTGGCAGGAGTGCTGTCGTGGTCCTTTAGGATGAATTTCCCCTCCTCGGTGAGCCCTGTCCTGGACGARTGCCACTGGACACCCTCGTCCTCCAGGGGACACGTGATTGTCACCGTGGTGCCAGAAATCTCCACCAGGAACTCCCCTTGGGAAGGCAGAGCCRTGAGAGAGCAAACCAAGGGGAAAAYTCAAATATTTCTACCTGGTTTTTAATCAACTGCGGTTTTTATGTGATGTTTAATAACTCAGAACACCAGTAAAATTCACTCACCCTCCTGTTGCTCATCTGCAAAACAGAAAATAAGGAGTGTTAAAAAAATCTTCTTACAATTGTCTCRCTGTTTGGTGCTGTTGGAAATGCCCAAGCCTGCTTGGGGATCACTGGGAATAATTAAAGGCAATTAATGATGGGGGTCACAGTCAGTTTTTCCACCATCAATTAATCAATAGTGAATTTTTCTATCCTGCAATATTTGCAAAATTCAAATACTTCTGCTGGACTCTTGATCCTCGCTTTTGAGGCATACTTGGGGGTTTTTAGCTTACTAAATAATAAAAAAAAGTTGGGAAAATCTACTTACCCTCCTGAGCTGTGGTGCCAG